CTTATTTTCTGAATAGAGGAATAAAGCAAACTCTTCCAAAGTTTTTTCTAATTGATGATATCCACTCTAAAAGCAGAGGAAAAATGGTAGAAAATTGAGATATAGTGAACCAGAATCCTGTTTAGTAGGAGTAACAGAGGAAATAGTCTACAAAGACCCAGAAAATTAATAAAAGTCTAGCAAAAGATAAAACGGTGCCACTAGGGGAGACTTATGTTCAATCATCTGGAATAATAGTGGTCAATGTTTCGCACCTCTCACCCATACCTCCCTCAAAACTTAATCTAAGAACAGAATCTAGTGTCTGTCATTTAAAATATAAGGAGATACCCATACTGTAAATTAATTGTGTAGTTATTGAGACATAAAATGTTTTATCAGCATTTTTTGTGTAATTACTGAAATCACCATGTGCGTTTTTGAGAGTAACTATTGAGAGGCAAAAAATTCATTTTTTTCCTTGTATTTTAATATTTAAATTTTTAAATTTTAAATCATTTTTCATTAGGATTCTTTCTAAAGTTACTGAAAACCCTAATGTCTGCTTAGATGCTTCTGCATTTTTGTTGTTCTTTAAAATAAAAATGCTATACATTTTGGACAATGTATTGTGAAGAAAATGGCTCCCAAATATAAGCAAAGCACAAGTAACTGTAGAGGAATAAAACTAAGCACTAAGATTAAAAAAAAAAAAAAAAAAAAAGAAGGAGGAAGGAAAATCTGACATAATAACTGAGCTTAAAGGCCAAGGATACAAAACTCTGGGACCTATTATTCATGCTCCAGAAATTCTGAGTTTGTGTAAAGTACTGACATGTACTGACATTTCCAGGGAAAGCTTGCCAGGTTTAAGTTCCTGGGCCCCATCTTTAAAGGTGGGAGTTTGGCATTTGCAGCCTAAAGTCTATAGGACAAAAGTCTTGACCTCCAGAAAAAGGAAATTGGGCCCAAGCCGAGTGGGAAAGAATATTTTCCTTTCTTCTTCTTAAAACAAGGATTTTTGTTCCCTTAAAATCACACCATATGGGGCAGCCACCTAAACCAAAAATTCTGGTATAACCTGGAGTGAGGCTTTGAAAACTGGTTTTATTTTCCGTTCCACACTTGGTCTTTCTTTCTACCAGACCCCATAAGGTTGGTTTACTCCTCCCGTTTCACAGGCTATTAATCGTGTGGAGTAGTGGATAGGGCACACTCTCAAGGAGAACACTGCCAGAGAAGGACTGCAAAAAAGTGAAAAGGGCCAGAAGGATCCAATTATCTTGGACTTCAGTTTATTTTATGTAAGCTTGGAAGCCCATAACTTTCCTTTAAAAAATCTTGTTTCTTGTCCAAATGTTCATGTTTTCTCCAAGGCACAAGGTGAACATTCAGAAAAGTGGAGGAAAATCCCCATAGCCCTGTCAGCACCGAGAACAGGAAACATACAGCTTCCTCACTGTAACATACTAATTTGTGATCTTCTCATCACTTCTACTAAGTGGAAATATTTGAAATTTAATGTGTAAAATGGAACTTTGTAAAATTGTGACTTGTCTTTTAAGAGTTGGAGTACACACACCTAGAGCTTTGACTACATGTAATCCTAAACTGTCTGCTCAGTGTCGTATAGTATCCATCAAAAGTGATTTAATATTTTCACTAGTCTTTTAACCATGTATAGATAAACAAGGTTTGAGAACTACTATGAATTACAAGTTAAACAGTAGTCAACAAAATGGAGCTGTATACAAATTGCAAAATACAATAGTATTTATAGACTTAAAGGGATCTTTTTTTTTTCTTTTGAGACAGAGTCTTGCTCTGTCACCAGGCTGGAGTGCAGTGGCGTGATCTCACCTCACTGCAATCTCTGCCTCCCAGGTTCAAGCGATTCACCTGCCTCAGCCTCCCGAGTAGCTGGGATTACAGGCACTTGCCACCACACCTAGCTAATTTTTGTATTTTTAGTAGAGACGGGGTTTCTCCATGTTGGCCAGGATGGGCTCAATCTCCTGACCTCGTGACCTGCCCACCTTGGCCTCTCAGAGTGCTGGGATTACAGGCGTGAGCCACCGTGCCTGGTCTAAAGGGATACTCTCATTACATTAGGCTCTGATTTAAATCTAAACTTAATTGCATCTAATTGAGTTTCTTCTACATGCAAAGTAACTCTGGACTTTGGAGATGGAAGATTATAATGGTCATTAAAACACTGTCTTTCCTGGCAAGTTGCTCATAATTTTGTGGAATGAATAAGAAAGAGACATATTTCTGATACAAATAAAGTGCTTTGGGAGTTCACAGGTAGGTATGATCACAACTAGGCAAGAAATTAAGAAGCCCCATGAAAAAAGCAGCATTTTAAGATAGGGCCTTGGAGGACAGGCAGGATTTCAACAGGTAAAGATGGGATAAAACAATTTAAGCAGACAAAAAATCAATAACACAGGCAATGAAGATAGGAAAACACAGTGCATTCCTGCAGAAACTTCAGTTTGGTCATGTAGCTTAACAAAATGACTGAATTGGTTTTGGTATAGCCCTTTAATTTATCACTCAATAAGGATTCTCATATTTTAAGGCTCTCTGATTTGGTTATCCGCAAAGCTTATTAAAATGTCAATCCTTTGGCTCCACTCTTTGACAAATAAGATTCACTTGTCCATCTGGGAATATGCATTTTTAATAAGCACTCCAGTTAGCCTAGGTGCCAAATTTTGAGAAACTTAGACTAAGTAAAAGGAGAATACAAATAGATCCTGAAAGGTAAATGTAGTGTAAGAATAAGGAGTCTTTTTTTTTTTTTTTTTAATGGATGGTAGGAGCAGGGAAACAAATAGTAGCTAAAAGTCTTGTTAATTTCAGTACAGGTTGAATAGCCTGTGGGGTCTTCAGTAACAATTGGTCTGCCCTAGTCTCTAGAATATGAAATGATCGCAAATTAAGATATCTGAGAAAAGGCAATGTGACTGTGATGTGAGGCTGAGTGACAATCTTCTTGCTGTCTCCAAGTAATTAAAAGAGTACTTCTCAAAGCAGAGACAAAACACAGTCTGATGAAGAGGAAATGGCTTTCAGATCTCAGTAGAGAGGTTTAGACTTAGCTAAGTAAAATAACTTCCTGGCAGAAAGGCAATGTTCACAATAACTGCATTGTCTGTCTGCACATATGTATTTCCTCTCTTAATGAAATTGATATATGTGGGAACTCATAGAAGATGTTGAAGCACTCCAGCCTAGGAGACAGAGCAAGGCTCTGTCACTTAAGAACAACACCAAAAAAAGGAATTAAGTAATTTGATAATCTAGTATTTTTAATGATTCACTTTATTTAATTAAAACCCAGATGCGCATTTTGGTGGGGGAGTTTTAAGGTGCTATTAACTAACATCTTCATAGATAAAAGCAGCTTGCATAAAGTAGGTCTCAGTAAAATGACACAAAATGCTGTTTCTAATATTCATTTGAACCGGACTTCACCTGGACAAGCAAACAGAGACCTAATATTGCTGGAAAATACTCTTGAAACATAAGTAAAACTCTGTAAAGCTTCAGAATTGAATGAACATATACATATTCATATATAAAAAATAATAATTTCCCATAAGAACTCCATATGAAAGAGTTTTTCACTTATATATGGCTAAAAAATTAGCAAGCTGAATTCAGGCAATCAATTCCCTTTCTCTCTTCCTTTTTCCTTGTACCAGAATGTAAATACAATTGAGGAAATATAGTGTACTGAAGCAAAAAAAAAAAAATAAATCTGCCTAAGGAGCCTGGCATGTCCTTCCAATAAGTGTCTCATTTAAAATTGGAATCTGTTTTATTCCCTGTTAAAATATGGATTCTTTCTTGCAAAAGGACAATCTCAAAGAAAAGTGGTATTGTTTACAGTTGTGCTTCACTGTGTTTTATAACACCATCTTTCTACATCTTCTTTATCTGAGAAATCTCAAGTATTAATTTCTTCAATCCAAAGGCATAATGAGTATCACTCATCAAGGCTTTCAAGTAAAGTGAACATCATATCTTTGAATAAAACATGCTGTTTTATTTACCGTGAAATTGAGGTAAAATAACAATAATAATTTGTTCAGGGGCTCGATGAAGCACACTTCAAACCACATGGATTTGATCATTCAAAGCAGGATGTTTTGTAATTCCCATTTCATTTTTGTTCTTCCCACACATATCTTTAAAGTTAGTTAAGTCCTCCTCCTAGATTTCAGCAGCCTTGAGGCAACTATCCAGGTCCCTAAGCTAAAATTTATTTACTTCAGAACAAGGGCCATAGACCCAGCTGAGTCAACTTTCTATGGATTTTGATTCTCTGCTCTGTTGCTACAGTCTGTTTTCTCAGATAATTAAGAGGTGACTAAATGACTCGTGTAAATGGGATTATTTAAAGAGAATCTGGTTGGCACTTATTTTTAGATACATAGGAATGATTTGGATCAAATCAGTGGCCCTCAAATGATGGTTCAAGGACAAATGCTGGGCTCGCTATATCAAAACCAAATGGAGAGCTTTGAAAAGATACAAATTGCATACTATACCCCACGAGTAATGAGTCAAAATCTCTGGAGGAAACACCCAGAAGCTTTTATTTTATTCTTTAACCTTCCCCAGATGAATCTGACAGTAAAGTTAGTAAAGCAGTAGTTCAAATCAGAGCTTCTCAAGTGTTAATATGCAGAAGAATCATCTGAGTTCATTTTTAAAACGTAGATCTTGATGCATCAGGTCCAGGGTGATGCCTGAGATTTTGAATTTGTAACAAGCTCCCAAGTGTCCTTCATTCATGAATTTTGAGTAACAAGGGGCTAGATTACTTCTCATGTTCTTTCAAGCTATGTTTTTCTGTGATTATAAAGTGCCTTGTAGAAATTGCATCATATACTCTTCCCTTACATAAGAATTTTTCATTCAAACTAGAATATTTTTCTGCACATAGGTTTCTTTCCTTTTTCAAAGCTGGGCCAGGAAATAATTGACTTATTTTCTTTTGCTTGCAGGTCTGCCTTTGTTTCCTACTTTTTAGCTTTTGACATATAGCTGAAAAAGTCCCAGAAAGCTGATCTGTCATCGCTGAAGAGTGACGGACTCATTGTGCACTAAAGCAAACATTTCTTCTGTGTGAGCCAAAAAAAGAAAAACGGCCAGCCAGACACCAGTAAAGAGAAGGCTATCAACATATAGGCATTTGAGGAACTGCTATATGACACATTCTTGATCCAAATGGGAGAGAATCAGCTCTCATGATGTCCCAGGGAACCTTATAATAAACAAGAGGGGAAATTGTAGCAGCTTGTCATCTGTGCTTGTACACTAGACTTCCATATAGTTACTATAGACAAATCCAAAGCAAATATGCAGACAGTTCTTTGAAAAATCCCCAAATCATATGTAAAGACTCAGACAGATGTGGTAAAAGGAGGAGGGTTATTTTATACTTGGTATCTTCAACCCTCTGGCAATCAATCTTTTAGAAGGAGCAGCAGTTGATTGTGAATTTAGATTTTGAACCACAATTAGGCAAAGATAGTTTCTCTAGAGAGAATCATGCCTGCTAATTACACGTGTACCGGGCCAGATGGAGATAATACAGATTTTCGGTACTTTATTTATGCAGTGACATACACTGTCATTCTTGTGCCAGGTCTTATAGGGAATATATTGGCCTTGTGGGTATTCTATGGTTATATGAAAGAAACCAAACGAGCTGTGATATTTATGATAAACTTAGCCATTGCTGACTTACTACAAGTTCTTTCCTTGCCACTGAGGATCTTTTACTACTTGAATCATGACTGGCCATTTGGGCCTGGTCTCTGCATGTTCTGTTTCTACCTGAAGTATGTCAACATGTATGCAAGCATCTACTTCTTGGTCTGCATCAGTGTGCGACGATTTTGGTTTCTCATGTATCCGTTTCGCTTCCATGACTGCAAACAGAAATATGACCTGTACATCAGCATTGCTGGCTGGCTGATCATCTGCCTTGCCTGTATACTCTTCCCCCTCCTCAGAACCAGTGATGATACCCCTGGCAATAGGACCAAATGCTTTGTGGATCTTCCTACCAGAAATGTCAACCTAGCCCAGTCCATTGCTATGATGACCATTGGTGAGCTGATCGGATTTATAACTCCGCTTCTGATTGTCCTATATTGTACCTGGAAGACGGTTTTATCACTGCAAGATAAATATCCCATGGCCCAAGATCTTGGAGAGAAACAGAAAGCCTTGAAGATGATTCTAACCTGTGCAGGGGTATTCTTAATTTGCTTTGCACCTTATCATTTTAGTTTTCCTTTAGATTTCCTGGTGAAGTCCAATGAAATTAAAAGCTGCCTAGCTAGAAGGGTGATTCTAATATTTCATTCTGTGGCATTGTGTCTTGCTAGTCTGAATTCCTGTCTTGACCCAGTCATATACTACTTTTCCACTAATGAGTTCCGAAGACGGCTTTCAAGACAAGATTTGCATGACAGTATCCAACTCCATGCAAAATCCTTTGTGAGTAACCATACAACTTCTACTGTGACAACTGAATTATGCTAAAAAAAGAAAGAAAAAACAAACTGAATGTGACCTGAAATGCAAGTACATCAGAACATATCTGCAATACCCAAGCCACAGGGAAGAACTCACACACGAAAAAAAAAAACACAGCTTTTCAGTTCTGCTCTATCTTACTGCTATGGGGAATTCATGTCTTCAAAGCAGGACCTATCTGGAATATTATGATCCACCACTATTGATGTTGACATGTTCATGTAGTAATTTTTCATCAAGTCTGTAAATCTTAAAATATCAAATTTCTGTGACATCCTATACACATATGCTCTCAATTATCGTCAGTAGTTCTACCTATAAACCTCAGACACAAAAAAAACTATTAGCTTGGAGCTACCATAAGCATTTAGTTTTGTTTCAACAGATACTGAGTCTTTATATGCAGAGGAAATGTAGGTTTTTTTTATATTAATAATCACAGTATACATGCCATTTTAATATGTTTGGTTATATTTTAGTAGGACAGATGATATATTACCCTGTTTAAAGAAAATGTTATAAACATAACATTTTTATCTCTTAAGTGTGATTACACTTCAAAGTTTGAAGACTAAAATAGCTATTTTCTTCATTTTTGTGTCAACATGAAATATCATTTGTCACACCTGTTCATAGAATGAAAATCCAAACTCAGGCCTCTGTTATATTTAAACTAAGAACAATACACATATTTCCATACCATAACCCTCTGTGTCTGTAAAAGATGCCATGTTGCATCCACCTAGGGCAGGTAGTTTGTCAAAGTCCATTCAAAGTGACTCAAATGGCCTCTAGACCTTGGAGAAAGCAAAAAGCAGAAAGGTGACAATCGCTGTTCCAGCTCCCTTATAATTTTTCTAAAGAACACTTCTGTAGATATATGGACCTGCCTAGTAGAGGAAGTTTTTATCATGCTTCTAGAGTGACATTCAGCTAATGTTGACAGGTTCCTGCACTTTCTGAGCCTATGGAAGAAGTAGTGCACTAATAAATCACTAAACTTAGGCCAGAGTGAAAAGATGAAGCGAAGTTGAGTAATCCTTTTAAAATTCTCATCACGTTGTATCTCTTACTCTAAGGTAAGCACACTTAGCTTAGACTGCCAAGTCATCTACACAAGCCAGAGTAAGTCTCTGTGACTCATCATCACATACATATTACAGTCAGTCACATGGACCTTAAAATCCATGTTGATTGCTTTGGTCTAGCTTTGTCCCAGCCATACCATTCTAAAGCCTCCAAATCCTATCCCTTAGCAGCTGGGAAAGGCAATTATTTTACCGTATGAAAAATGTATAGAAGATTAATTTGGTCAGCCTTGGGCAACCAATGACCAATGACTTGCCTGCTTCCTGTTTGGTACTACTGTGTGGGAAACAGACCCAGGATATTAGTCATAATTAAATCTTAGGTTGTAAGTATTAGAATACTTTGAAACATGTTTTAGCAAAAAGCTCTAACGTTAAGAAAGTTCTACTTAAAATTTGTGTGCTATATAATGAAGATACCTTCTATGTCTCATAGAAGGAATGTGGAACCCAATCAAAGACTTTATCATATTTAGAGAAAAGGGGTTGTTTTAGGCATACAGTTATGATACTAATACATTAGGGGGAACACTGGTGACATAAACATGAATTCTAACATGTAAGACTGTTGGAAAGTTTTCTAAAGTTTTCTTTGGACAAGTGTTGATTTTACACATACGTTGTTATTAAGATAATGCCCTATTAGAAAACTGACTTTGTGCTGCTAGCAATAGTGTATCTATGTGTCTCCTAATTATTCATTGTAAGGTATATGTTTTGATGTGTTAAGTATGTTTTCAATAAGTGTTAAATTGTATTTTTAAAAGGGTTACTATAACTGTGTCTTGTCTCTTTGCTTTAAAGTGTCTTTTGTTTGACTATAATTTAATGTGGTAATGGGATTGCAAGTAATAGTTTTGTGGAATTTTGAAATAACTGTGGGTACTTGTAATGTGAGAGTCTTATCTATACTATGTGTACTTACTATTTTCTAGATTAGCATGAATTACACTTCTTAAGGTCACTTTGGAAGATGATTTGATTTTATTAACATTGATTTCACTTTGACTACCTTTTTTTTTTAAAGAAGAAGGGAAATCTTTTCAGGAGACAATTGACCTTCTTAAATGAATGGTTGAGGGTAGGGCCCATTTGTTAGGCAGCCCAATTACATCATTCCAAAAAAGGACAATTTTAAGTGTTCTTATGCTGCTTAGATAAGGACACACTTTTTCCCCAGGCCTGCCCATCTAAGTTTGCATTCAGTGCTCTGATTTACTTTATTCACCCCTACCCCATGGATAAGTTTTGTCTTCTGCTTTATTCCCTTGCTCTCCCAGACAGCAACCTGATCAATTCATTCACGCCATGGTGCTAATAGCTAATGTTAGGTTAATTATTAATTTACCCAGGAATATCTGAATTCCAGGCCTTAAGACTAGGCATTAAACCAAAGTGGTGACTTTCAAAGGAGGGCTAATACATATTGAAGCAGACAGACTGGAGGGAAAGATATTTTGAAGAAAGTGGGTCCTACAACATTGCCTTTCATATTGCATATAGTAAGCGGACACCTACTTTGCTTACCATAATGGAGATGCTAACTTTTAAGAAATTAAGAAATGTATCCATGAACATGGCTGTCAGTTTCTCAGATGTCTGCTCGTCTTCTTTTCATTTTGCCTCTCTCCTTTCCTACTTTGGGCCCGATTCTCAGCGGAAGTCTAAACTAGTAGCTTCCTAATTTAGGAGTACTGCTGCAGCTGCTATCCAGACAGCAGCCTCCTCTCTGAGCTTCTCCATTCTATAGAGAATCTTTTCTCCAGACTTCTCATTTATCACTCTCTGGGTTCCATGAAATTGTGGTGCAAAAAGTAAACACCTTCAACCATACTAATGTATACTTCAAGATAAATAATGCCACATTTCCTATATATAAAGTTGTTGAATTTTGATTCCCAAATCCATACATAATTATTCCAATAAGAAAAACTTTGAAGTTGTAGTGATTTCTATGTGATAATACTGTCATTATTATTGTTGTTAATATTATTATGTTCAAATGGTTTATATGTTTTCATTGTCACTCAGTTAATCAGCCAATTCTATTAACTGGTAATTCCACAAAGAGACGTCATCTGCCCCAGGAGCAACAGACCAAGCCGCCTTGGTCTGAGAGGGTGCATCTGTGGAACTCTTGCGCAACTTACATTTTATGTCACCTTTTGGTTTTACTCCCAAGATAATGTGAAAATGTCGCACTTGGAATTTATTTATGGCCATAACTTATAATATTCATTTTAATAATAAAGATTGTCTTTGTAATTACATAGAAATTTTCTGCCTTCAGAAGTTAACATGTACTTAGTCACTTCTTTCAACACACTGATAGACGAGCATTTTTGTTAGTGTCGTCACGTGCATGAATAGAAGTCTCTAAGACTCTATTCTCCCTTTTTCTCTTTTAGGTGCACTGTATTCTCAAAAGGAAGGATAAGCCACACCCCCAACTTTACCCCACTCTTGCCACCCATTTCGTCTGTAGACATTTTACTATTTATATTCTCCTAAAAATTATTCCCAGTCCTCACTGTGGACAAAGTTTATTGGAACTACTTAAAGCTCTATATTTGTAATGATGGGACAGAGAGAATGTTTTCTTATTCTTAAGGGTTGTTAAGATGTGGCAGTCTGATTTTTTCTCTAGATTGTCGGGGTGGGGAGAACTCAACCTCTACTGTCCCTCTCTACTCTTCTCAAAACAGATCTACTTAAACAACAACAGCAACAAAAGTGTGAAGTCAGAAAAATTGTCTCTGACTCTTCCTTCAGCGTGGCTCTCTTTCTTCTATTTCAATACCTCCTCATCTCACCCATATCCCTAGTATGTTCAGGACCCCAAATATCTTCTATCATAACCAAATTTTTAGGAATTACACATTTTGGCTGTGGCAAAAATATTTTCCTAGGAAGTTGTGAAGGGCTTCCAAAGGAAGAATTTTTGATGCTTTGGTAAACCGGAATAAAATAATGGGATATAAATACGACAGGCCCCATGCTTCAGATGCCCTCAAAACTCATAGAGACCTCTTCTGTTCCCTCCTGAAGACCATCCAGAAACAACTTCACCGTCTTTACCAACATATTTTGATGGAGTGGTGGAGATAGGGGAAGAGGGAGTAAGAGATAAACTCTCAAGCAAATGTGGCTATTTCCACTTGCTGATTTATCAGTTATTAAAGGATGTGGTATGGGGAGGGGGAGAGCTAATTGTAATTTTACTAAACTTCACAGGCCATTTCCTCTTCTTCAGGACTTCTTCAGCCTCAACCACTAATTCAGCCAAATAATTCAAGTAATAGAAATATGCCAATACTATATTTTTTTCTATTGTTTGTTGAATAATTATCTTCATTCTACTTCTTACTGCAATGCATATCTTCTGATTTAGCTATAGGCATAGTGCTATCCAAAGCCTTCCATTGCCTTCTTGTATCTCTTCAAATAATAGACAATCGCTCCACAAGGAAGGCTGTCATTAGGCCTGCCCTTCTGAACTCAGCATATACTTTTATTGCAGGAGCTCTTCAAGTTTTATTCTGGCCCATAGTAGTGAGATTTTTCATATTTTTCTAAACAATGCTGAGTATCTACAACTTGTAAGAAGACTGGTAGCATTCATTATCTTTTAAAATGCTACCCCAATAAGAGGACAAAAATAAACAAAAAGAGTTTGAAGAAATGATGGTTCAAGTTATGGCACTGGCGTGGAAGCATAGAGGAAGTAGTCATACTATAAATTATCCACACCATCTTTGCATGACATAAATCACATAATAACAGTTTTAAAATGTTCTGAAATCACATTACTGCCCTCTGCCATTAAACAAACTTAAATTTTTTACTAAAATGCATATAAGGAGATAATACCATGAAAAAAGTAACGTGGTAAACTTTTTTACTATGAAAAACCTAAAACATACTCAAAAGCAGAGCAATGAGTATAATGAATGCCCATTATTTAACTTCAACCAATATCAACACATGGCCCAGTTTTTTTTCTTGTATGTCTGCCTCCAATCCCCTACTCCAGATTATATTAAAGTGCATTTCCATTATATAATTTAATCTATGAATAGTGTAGTAAGTCACAGTATCATTTAAATGAACTAATTAATGTATGATCAAAAGGTGCCAAGGAATAAAATTGATTATAGATGTTTTCAGTAATGACATTGAACACTAAATTCCAAAAAGTAGAAGAATTTCCCTTTGATTAATCTGAACAAGCTTCAACTCAGATTATAACATTTATTAACCTGAGTCTGTTTTCTTTAAGTAGTCGTTTCTTCTGTTTCAGAAATGTAATGAAGACTAATGCTGAATTCAGTTCAGGGATTCATTGGTTCAAATTATGGCTCCCATGAGAAGGAGACCAGTACACTTAGCTCTACTGAATATAAAAATACCAATGCTAACAGACTACATTTCTACATTGTAGACAAAATGGTCCACTAAACAATACTCATAGAGTAGTATTAGAATGCATCTATGTAAATATGCACTCTAAATGTTTCTGAAGCTTATGTCATAGTTATGTGAACCCTGTGAATACTGCTCATAACTAGGTGGGTAGACTTTGTAAAGTTTCCTCAATAATTCCACATTTTCTGCCTTTCAATTTCTTCTGATAAGAATAGATTAATTAGGCTATGGGTTCAACTGTGGTTAACAGAAGTGTAGCTTAAACTACACACAAATGTATTTCTCTTTCATGGAAAAGTATTAGCCAGCATGGTGGCTTTTCTTTGCAAGATATTTTGGACCTAGACTTCTATATTGTAACACCAACATTTCTTGGGTGTTCCTCTAATCTCAATGTTGCAAGATATTGTTTAAAAAATAATTGGGGTATCACATCAAGTTAAAAAACTTCTGCACAGCAAAGGATACAATCATCAAAGTGAACAGACAACTCAAAGAAAGAAAATATTTGCAAACTACCCATCTGACAAGAGATTAATAACCATAATATATAAGAAGCTCAAACAACTTTATAGGAAAATATCTAATAATCTGATTCAAAAATGGGCAAAAATTTTGAATAGACATTTCTCAAAAGAAGACATACGGTTTGCAAACAGTCATATGAAAAGTTCCTCAACATTATTGAACGTTCAGAGAAATGCAAATCAAAACTATGTTGAGATATTACCTCACCCCAGTTAAAATGACTTTTTTTCTAAAAGGCTGACAATAACAAATGCTAGCAAGGATGTGGAGAAATGGATGTGGAACCCTTGTACACTTTTGGTGTGAATACAAGTTAGTACAACCACTATGGAGAAGAGTTCAGAGGTTCCTCAAAAAAGTAAAAATTGTGCTACCATAAAATCCAGCAATCTCACTGCTAGATTTATACCTGAAAGAAAGGAAATCAATTTGTCAAATAGATATCTGCACTCCTACATTTGTTGCAGCACTGTTTATAATACCTAAGATTTGGAAACAACCTAAGTGTCCATCAACAGGTGGATGGATAATAAAAATGTGTTACATAAACACAATAGAGTATTATTCAGCATAAAAAATAATGTGATTCTGTCATTTGCAACAACATGGATGCAACTGGAGATCATTATAGTAAGTGAAATAAGCCAGATACAGAAAGTCAAACATCGTGTGATCTCACTTGTGGGATCTAAAAATCAAAACAATGGAGCGCATAGACATTGAGAGTAGAAGGATGGTTACTAGAGGCAGGGAAGTGTAATGGGGGTAGTTTTGGGGAGGTGGGGATGATTAATGGGTACAAAAAAATAGAAAGATTGAATAAGACCTACTATTTCATAGCACAACAGGCTGATTTTAGTCAACAATAACTTAATTGTACATTTTAAATGAACTTCAGTAGTATGATTGAATTGTTTGTAACTCAAAGGATAAATGCTCAGGGAGATGGAAACCCCATTCTCCATGATGTGCTTATTTCACATACCATGCCTGTATCAAAACATCACATGTATCACGTAAAAATATACGCCTACTATGTACCTACAAATATTCCCACAAACAGTGTATGAGGGCTCCCTTTTCTCCACATCCTTGCTAGCATTTGTTACTGCCAGTCTTTCAGAAAAACAAGTCATTTTAACTGGGGTGAAATAATGCCTCATCATAGTTTTGATTTGCATTTCTCTGAACGTTTAATAATGTTGAGGACCTTTTCATATGACTGTTTGCCATTTGATATACATTTTTTGAGACAGAGTCTTGCTCTGTCACCAGGCTGGAGTGCAGTGGCACGATCTCGGCTCACTGCAGCCTCTGCCTCCCAGGTTCAACCGATTCTCCTCCCTTAGCCTCTCGAGAAGCTGTGACTGCAGGTGTGCAGCACCATGCCCAGCTAATTTTTGTGTTTTTAATAGAGATGAGGTTTCACTCTGTTGGCCAGGATGGCCTCGATCTCTTGATCTCATGATCTGCCTGCCTTGGCCTCCCAAAGTGCTGGAATTACAGCTGTGAGCCACTGCACCTGGCCATCTACAAATATTTTTAAAAATTAAAATAAATAAATGGGAGGTCCTTGTGTAGAAATGGCTCTAGTCCCTTGGGTTCCTACATAAGCAAAGTGAAGCCTAATGTAACAACAAAATGAAACTTAAACTTAACCAATCAGAAACTGCCAAAACCCTTTAACTAGGGACTTTCAACCCAAATAAAGCAAATTCCTATCTATAGCCAATCAAAGTGATTTATTTACTTTGCCTCACATTCAACCTATAAAAGCCTAATACTCACACTACTAAAGCAAAGCTCCCTAAACCTCTTCTGTTTCTGGGTGCTGCCCAATTCACAGATTGCTCTTTGCTCAAACTCTGATAAATGTAATTTGTGTATGGTTTTCTTTTAATCATATCACATTGACACTGTAGCTAGTATGATTGATAAATGGGGAAGAGGAGGGATGCCTCTTCCCTTTAAGTGGATGACCAGAAATTGTGAATATTCTTTCTGCTTGTAAGCCACTGGCTAAAAATCAGTTATGTGGCCCTGCCAAGCTGCAAGGGAGGCTAGAAATTATAGTCATAATTCAGGTGGCCATATGCTATTAGATATTACTTTTTTATGGAAGAAATGAAAAATAAATATGGGGACACAGTGTGTCCCTATCATTCTAGGTATATCAAAGGCACCAGCAATGTAATCTGCCTTAAAAATGCCATCTAAACTACAAACCTCAGTAGATCTTTGAATGTTCATTCCATTTTTTCAAAACACCACTTTCCTCTAATAAAGCCACACCTTTTCTTCCCCATTGGGGTTATCCAAACCA